GATCGAACGAGGCCAGTTAGTGACACGTGAGTTACCACCTAGGTGAAAAGGTTATCATCCAGGTGAAAATTTATCAACTGGGTGAAAAGTTATCAACGAGGTGAAAACGTTTGCACCTAGCGCAGCAGTAAGAAAACAAACCTAACACTAAAAACCTAAACCAAAAACTACAAAATATTTAAAAGTCGTATATATGGGCCAGCGTAGAAAACAGCCACTAGTGTATAATTTTAAGGCGAGATTCCCAAGAATATTCTCTCAACGTTATCAAGCCAATAAAGCAAGTAGTAGTAGTAGTAGTAGTACCTTGATTTTGTATCGTATCTCCTTCCACTAAAGTGTTTTCGCCGAAGCTTCTTCCTATATATTTAGAATATGATTTTGCAATCCTTCCTATTACTGCCTTAGACCATGGAGTGGTTTATTGGGAAGTTCTGGTCTTTATTTAATACAAATCATATCGTTTGGTAGTTGATCTATAGAGACAATATTTATGCGGACATATGTGTCTCTTCTCTGGACAAACTGAACGACAGACTCACCCTACCTGCAGAGAAGTGACTCTGACACAGTGAATAGCCATGATATCCATATGACGTTATCTAAACGTCACAGGTCATGAGGTCACATCAACAAACAAATGTAAACACCATCATTATGATCATTATCAACATTACAAGACACAATGTTACATTGTAAATAATAGCCTTCTTGCAGCCTTTAGGACTGTATAACCCGTACAGAACGTCGTATCGCTTCTTCCAATGATTTTTCACAAAAAAAAACATCATCTACAACTCTAGATTTGACGTCGGCATATTGGCACTATTTTGTGCTTCGGTCGTGTCTATTTCAGATATACACAATCAATTCTGCTAATGTTGTTATCGTGGGGATTGACTAAAAGTTAATTTATTTCAGTTCTAAACAAAAATTTAAAACTTTAGCGCAATTTAAAAAAAAATAGCCAAATTCTGGCTGGGATTACTGAGCAAAATGGTCATTCACTGTATACGTGCGAAAAAAAAAGCCAGCTACCATTTAATTTTCGTACGTTAGTTACGTACGTTTTCTGGATTGGTAGATGTCATCTTTGTAGGTTTAGTGTTTAGGTGTCTGACCGGTACTGATCGCAACCTTCCCTACTCTGCAGCTTTGGTACATATTTAGTAGACTAGTGTTTAGATGCCGGGTCCGCCTGACCGTGACCCTCTCTTACTTCACTATTCTACTTAATCCAACAAGAGTCACTAGATCGTGGATTAGTTCGAAGATTCGCAGTTTTATTTCTGGTCTCAGCAAAAGTAAATTCCACGTGTTGAGAGTTATGTTGTTGTTCCGCATCATCCCCACTCGTTCCCTTCTCCCCTCCTTGTATACTTCATAGTCAACCAGCACATGACTGATGGTACATTCCTCGCCGCACTCACAGACGATGGCTTGGTATTTGAAGTCTCGCAGACGTTCTGTTACTCCTAGTTTCCATATAAGTTTACATATATCTCTTATTGGTCGCTGACTTTGTGTAGATCTTTATGTATCAAGTTCAACAAGGTTCAGTTCCCATATTGAGATGATCTGTCTTTTAACCATACTGTAGATTTCTGTGATGCTGTAGTCTATGGTGCGGAACGGTGCTGCTGTCCTTAAGACCTTCGTTTGCGATTGGATCTGCCTCCTTTGATGTCCACGTGTGATTGAATCCACACGAGTTCTAATTTGCTTCCTTTCTCTAGGACGTTTTGATACAGATTTCTGATTTCCAACATAACTGCTGGTTTTGAAATCGAGTTGTCATTCTGGATTGAAATCAAGCTGCTCAGTAAATCTCTCGTTATGACGTTCGTTCGTACCCGGTGTTTAACGTCCACTTCCACCTACGATCTTACTAGTCCTTTGATGGGAGATCCATTATATAGCATCACGGGTGGCCACGATCTCTGCAGTGTAAACCGAAAAGTTATTGGGTTGATTCCTACTTATTCCCCGTTCCCCGTTTGGCAAAGTATTTTCTCAACGTTATCAAGCTAATAAAGCAATACAGATAAGAGGCAAATATAACATAACCGAAACCATACATGATAACAACTAGATCAAAGGCTTGTGACACAATAGGTTAAAATATACAATGACAAGATAGGCGGTATTTTCTTGAAAACGTTGAGAGAATACTCTTCGAACGTCGCCTTATATTCCATAAGTATGGGCGGGGGGGGGGGGTATATCGTAGTTATTTTTGTTAAAAAATTCCGGAAATAAAAATTATCCGGATAATTTTATCCATATGTGTTTTTTCCTGTAATTTACAGAAATTTCTTCAATTAACATAAATTCTATTTTCATATACAGAAAAACAAAAGCCTGGTATCGTAGTTATTTTTGTTAAAATCCGTGAAAAAACGTAAACCATGCCGGAAACAAAAATTATCAGGATAATTTTATCCGTATTCGTTTTTCCTGTAATTTACAGAAATTTCTTCAATTAACATACATTCTATTTTCAAATACAGAAAAACAAAATCCTGGTAAGTTTGGTGGTGTTATCCGTCCTTTAATTTAAGAGGGCGCAAGATCGAACGAGGCCAGTTAGTAACACGTGAGTTACCACCTAGGTGAAAAGGTTATTACCCAGGTAAAAACGTTTCCAACTAGGGCAAAAGTAAGAAAACAACCCTAAAACTAAAATCCAAAACCCAAAACTACAAAATATTTAAAAGTCATATATTGGATTGAAATCAAGTTGCTCAGTAAGTCTCTCGCTATGACGTTCGTTCGTACCTGGTGTTTAACGTCCACTTCCACCTACGATCTTACTAGTCCTTTGATGGGAGATCCATTATATAGCATCACGGGTGGCCACGATCTCTGCAGTGTACACCGAAAAGTTATTGGGCTGATTCCTACTTATTTCCCGTTCCCCGTTTGGCAAAGTATTCTCTCAACGTTATCAAGCTAATAAAGCAATACAGATAAGAGGCAAATATAAAATAACCGAAACCATACATGATAACAACTAGATCAAAGGCTTGTGACACAATAGGTTAAAATATACAATGACAAGATAGGCGGTATTAGCTTGAAAACGTTGAGAGAATACTCTTCGAACGTCGCCTTAAATTCCATAAGTATGGCCGGGGGGGGGGGGGTATATCGTAGTTATTTTTGTTTAAAAATTCCGGAAACAAAAATTATCCGGATAATTTTATCCATATGTGTTTTTTCCTGTAATATACAGAAATTTCTTCAATTAACATAAATTCTATTTTCATATACAGAAAAACAAAAGCCTGGTATCGTAGTTATTTTTGTTAAAATCCGTGAAAAAACATAAACAATTCTGGAAACAAAAATTATCAGGATAATTTTATCCGTATTCGTTTTTCCTGTAATTTACAGAAATTTCTTCAATTAACATACATTCTATTTTCAAATACAGAAAAACAAAATCCTGGTAAGTTTGGTGGTGTTATCCGTCCTTTAATTTAAGAGGGCGCAAGATCGAACGAGGCCAGTTAGTAACACGTGAGTTACCACCTAGGTGAAAAGGTTATTACCCAGGTATAAACGTTTCCAACTAGGGCAAAAGTAAGAAAACAACCCTAAAACTAAAATCCAAAACCCAAAACTACAAAATATTCAAAAGTCATATATTGGATTGAAACCAAGTTGCTCAGTAAGTCTCTCGCTATGACGTTCGTTCGTACCTGGTGTTTAACGTGCACTTCCACCTACGATCTTACTAGTCCTTTGATGGGAGATCCATTATATAGCGTCACGGGTGGCCACGATCTCTGCGGTGTACATCGAAAAGTTATTGGGCTGATTCCTACTTATTCCCCGTTCCCCGTTTGGCAAAGTATTATCTCAACGTTATCAAGCTAATAAAGCAATACAGATAAGAGGCAAATATAACTTAACCGAAACCATACATGATAACAACTAGATCAAAGGCTTGTGACACAATAGGTTAAAATATACAATGACAAGATAGGCGGTATTAGCTTGAAAACGTTGAGAGAATACTCTTCGAACGTCGCCTTAAATTCCATAAGTATGGGCGGGGGGGGGGGGGGTATCGTAGTTATTTTTGTTAAAATTCCGGAAACAAAAATTATCAGGATAATTTTATCTTTTTCCTGTAATTTACAGAAATTTCTTCAATTAACATACATTCGAATGACCTCCATCGAGAAAGTTCATTGGCCTTGCAAAGAGGACTACTCGTTCGAATGGGACGAAAAACGTCCTACTGTTCTGCACCGATTGGGCTTATGAAGATACACATACGCTATACAGTGTACTAAGAGGGAAGAGGGAAGCTTTTTCCCAAACAGCGGCAATGTGTACACGTGACTTAACGTGGTGTCTGGCCATTACCATAACTCTTAAGGGGGAACCACACTAGAAAATCCGGATGAACTTTCTCGTAGAACACCAGGATCGAATACTGGACCCACAGGATAGCGAGCTAACGTCTTAAACACTGAGCCACGTCGGTTTCCTGCCTGAAAAGAAATCACCGGTCACATTCTTTGATTTAAACTACAATTTGCATGTGCAGTGTAAACAGTGAGTAAATTAAAGATGCATTATGTAAGATGTAGATAAAGAGCTGGTCGTTCTCGTTACAGAAGTTCCGAAATAGATATTTGAAATATTCTATTACTTTCTTCTGGGCGAAGTTACGAATATTTGAAGTTTTGACAAGAATAGCGAAGTTCCGATTGACATTGATATGCTAATTAACTGATTAAATGGCTCGGGAGGTCTACTCCACTTAATACCAAGACCGTCCAATGACCTAGAGAGTTGATTATGAGCTTGTCTAAATAATAACTTAAATAAGACTTGAAGCCAGAATGTATTATCCATGTAATACCTAAGCTATCCCATGGTCTAGAATCCCATGATTATGGGCGTGTCTAAATAAAGCAATAGGCAAGATTTTCTTCTCACATATTGCATCTTTGTTAATTCTATAAAGACAATTCAAAACTTACACCCCATTCAAAGGCAACAACAGCTATTCCTGAAGCAGCACCACTTCCTGCCAATCCTATAAAATGTTCGCTTCCTATATTACTGGCAAACATGGAAGCACCTATCTGAAAATAGAAATAAACAATACTTTTTCTATGATACACAATGTCTTGTACCTGATTTGTTCTGTTTCGAGTGATCTAGGATGTATAACGCGGACTCCCTAATAGAGGAGGTTCCGAATCCGAGAAGCTTCCATGAGATTGTCAGGCCTGCCCCCCTCACCCTCTCCCGATGTAGTTGCTGCTGAACGGGGGTCAAAAGCGTCCCCTCGTTAGGATTGGACCAATAGCCGAGGCCCTGTGTGCTATATAGGGAGAGATAACGTCCAATCGACACAAACTAGAAATGAAATGAAATGAGGTTTAACGTCCCACTGTTCTGCCCCATTGGACTAATGAAAACGTGCATACAGTGTGCTTTAAGGGGAATTTTGCCCCATACAGCGGCACTACGACCTAATCTTATATTGAATTTCATCTGCCAAGTGATCTTTTACTTGCACCCGAACGACTATACATTGTCCCTTGTCAGGCCCCCTGTCCTACACCACTGACAACGGGAACCACGCCGGAAAATATGATCAAATATGAACCTCCAGGTTAGCGAACTAACGCCTTACCCACTGAGCCACAACAGCTCATCAACATAAACCAGATCATTTCGGGAATAACATGGTTCAATTTTATTTCCATAATTCGCTTGCATGTAGCGGGAAACCAGAGAAATCGGAGAAAACTCACGAGATTGGACATGTGACCCGGATAATTAATGATAATTGCGTGCGACGTTTATTTTATGTGTTTTTAGCACCCGAGACATTTCACCACGTGCAAATAACCGAGTGTCCCGGATATCGGGAACGTTAATTCTTTTAGTAACAGGACATCCTGAAAAACAAACACTATTTCAGTCCAGGAAATAGGAAAGACATAATTAACACCTCGAGTATAAACGTTTTGATGTCCGGAATTAGTAAATGGTGTTCCCTGATTCATTATTCAAGAGTTAAAAATTAGACGTTTATTAACTTGCCAAGACCATAATCAACTCTGAATCCCATCAGTTGCTCTAGATTTTCACCGGATTTAAACATCATTGGCGGTTAATGATTTAATTAAGAATTGGATAATCGAGACTTTGTTTAGTATGGTAACGCCGGTATCAGTGACAATCGAGACTCTGCTATTCTCCCTACAACCGTAACGTCAAGATATTCCCTATTATCTATTTTTAACTAGTATTGCGAGAACAGTTAGCTTTCTATCTTAATCTTACATACTGCATCTTTAAGAGTTGCGTTTAGGGGGACCCGATCACATTCTACTTAATTCAGACCTCAGATCTTTTTGTTCGAGATGTTAATCAAATCTTTGCTAACTCCTGGACGAATAATGTAGTTCTTCTCTTTCTCCTTTTCCTAAATCCACGTGACGTGATTGGGGCTATTATTTGTAACAGATTATTTCCAAGCTTGTGAACACGATAGAGGTATGACTTCTTGACTGCATAAACGGTCCTTGTCAATTTTGCCAAACACCCATGGCTGCTGTGTGTCTGTCGTTACAACTATAGTAAGTACAGGGGGACTGCACCACACACAAGCAAATATACAAGACAATTCTACGGAGAAGACACACTATACAGACATCACAAACAACAAACATACACATCAGACCAAGTGAATGGATCCGTAGGGCTAGCGTCCACTGTGCTGTACAGTCCCGGGCCTGTAGTGATACACACGTCACTCAAAATGAAAAGCGAATTAACTATATTCGCGCCATATTGCGGGTGAAGCAGTGGAACAATGAATACGCGAACGCTTTACGAAGACAAGAGTATTTCAATGATTTTTATTAAATTGGGAGCATGGCAGGATAAACCAAATTGATTTCCCAGGTCATGTCTCCACCATTTAAACATAATAATCAAAACAAATTGAATTTCGGTAATACAGACTATTTGTTAAAGATGCATTATCTAAGAGCTAAATCGGTCTATTAGAAGTCTGTATCTGGGCCTCAAGGTCTGTCATTGAGTCAACTGGTTTGGTTTAGATTCCCCGGTTGTACATGACATTAGTTTTATCATAACCGTTTTTAAATAAATATATACAAACCACAAATATATAATATTTCATTCCACTCGTAAGTATACCTTATTTTAGTTACATAATAAACAATCTAACCTAAATCACAAATCAGTCATAACGTCGCTTAGAATAAAGTGATTTGAATGAAATTTTCAATATATCTTTATATTTTCACTTTAATATTTATTTTTTTTAAGTATTATATCGAGAACAGTCATCTCTTTATCTAAATCTTACATAATGCATCTGTAAATATATAGCTGTATATATATAGCGAAGATATAAATATACGTAATGTAAGTAAACTTACCGGAAGCCAAATCATATTACGACCCGCCAGAAAATATCCTTTAACACTCTCCCTGTTCTTTCTGCACATCGACTAAATCATGAAAAATAAAAAGAAAATATAGAAATATTTATTAAAATAGGTTAAACAAAACTAAATTTAAGTCCGAAAGTGCTATAATGAAAGTCAAACAAAGAGTCACTCTGCACAAAGAAAACTATATCTACTTATAAAGAGAAGGGTTCTCTGTCCTGAATGGCCACCATATTTTTAAAATTGTAGTACGGTTCTACTCTCTTTCACATGTGTCATACACAACTACTAAATAAACCTTTTCTATTTTTATTAAGGAAGCGGCATAAATACCTTCTCAAAATTCGCGTATGTTTAGTATGACAGAGAATTTAAAACCAAACACAAATGTTTGTTACGCTTTTTGTATATTATCAAAAAACATTTGTTTTGAAGTGTTTCGAAGGAAGTACGTTTTCAAATCGATAGTCATGTATTTATCATGGGAAGCACGGTGGCTTAGTGAGTAAGACGCTGGCTCGTTAACCAGGAGGACTCCGGTTCGCTCCCGGTGTTGGCCGAAAATGTTCCTCGCAATTTTCCGGCGTGTTTTCCCCTTGTTATTGAGCCAGGACTGAAAATCTGGCCACGAGGTTCAGTGAAACCATTGGCAGCTGGAATTCGAAATAAAAGTAAGGCGTAGCACCGCTGTGTTGGCACAATTTCCCTCTCAGGAAACCGTATGGCATATGCCTGTCTTCATTAACCAAGTAGAAAAAGAACGGTAGGACGTTAAACCCCAATTTAATTCGTTTTCCAATAATACTAAAATTTTAAAGCACTAAAGCATCCTCACATCGCACCAGTAACCTACAGAGGTTTGGTCGGAGCACACAAGTTGTACGTTAACCCCCATTTCATTTCATCTTGGGTTGTTTTTTTTTCAGATCGTAAATGTCGAGGACAAATACCGGTGAAAGTGTTTATATAAACGCAGAGTACATTGGTGTCTCTTATAATCTGATTAAATCAATTACTCGATTTATTAACTTCCCTATAGAGATTACGATGTAATTCATTTTCCAGCAACTAGTGTTTGTTTGTGATAATGCGTCTTAAGAAAGACGGTGAACCCAGTTCAAAGACCTATTTGCACCAAAAGATAAAGTCTAGAATGTAAGGATTGGTTATCTCTAATAAATCCCTCGGGGTAACTTGCTCTACGAACAATAGATTGCATGATAGTTGAATTATAAATATATTATCTATAATAGCCAGAATCCTTTATTCTAGTAGTTAAGTTGTTGTTTCCAACAGAATGTAATTGTTTATACATATCTTGCGGAATTTTCCGATATTTTTCGGATTGTTTCGGTATTTAGTTAAGTAGATATATTTTAGCAAATCAAATTTCCTTCAGTTATTAGATCATAACAGCATTGCCCTTGACAACACTCTTGATTTTATTTTTCAGCTTGCTGTGTATGTTTGACATATCATAAGGTGAACGCTTGTAGAATCGCAGACTTGTTCATCAATATTATATGGAGTTATTGTCCCTGTAACCGAAAATCACCCAAACCCTGGAAACGCTAAGAGTTACTGAGTTTATATTACATTCATTGTCTATTTCACGCGAATGCTCGTGGTATATATCGTTGACCACACTGATTATCTTCTCTTTGCAATTACGGCTTAACTGGGCAATACTGTCCTCGATTAACTATCGCACCGCCAGACATCATTCTGCACATAGAGAACAATCTACTTTGAGAATAGATCTCCGCCGTGAATGGCTTCTAGAGATTCTCTATGTGGAAAACCCCCTGTGAACGCTCTATTGACAAAAGTTGTTGTATGAAATTGATATCAGTGTCTTGTAAAATCTCTCATGAGCTACACAGGAAGAAATATGCGACAACCGTTGTTGACTGTCCGGACGATTTAGTTGCTGTGGGTGTATGTTTCGTTTCCTGGCAACTTATCATATTTCTTCTGACGAGCCGGACAAACTTACCAATACCCTCCAATCATCTCAGTGTCTAATTAATAGTCTTTATTACCAATTGAACAATCTCGCCCAGTATTAATCAAACGTTAAATGGCGGTGGAAACCATAGAGTGCACGACGTCGTGTATTCATTATAAATGTCCATTGTGTGTTAATTATTGGATATTAGTATACCATATTTTCACGGTGGGATAACATCAATATTGATTGAAATGGACCAATTCTAATTCGTATTTATAATTTTGAATATAGTAGGTAATGTCCTACTGTTCTGCTCCGAACTGGGCTAATGAGGAGGGGGATATAATAGATAATATTTAGTCAGAGCCTATCTCCTTTAACAGTCGGGCCGCTGTATTCAGTGAGTAAGACGTTGGCTCGCTAACATCGGGATTTTTTGGCGTGGTTCCTCCTTGTCAGTGGTGTAGTAGGACAAAGAGCCTGGCAAGAGACAACGTATAGTCGTTCGAATGGGATGAAAAATCGAGGCAAATGAACCCTTGGCAGCTGGATTCGATACAAGAGTAGGTCATATAGTACCTCTGCCCGTGCAAACTTTTCCTCACAGTACAGGACAGTAGGACGTTAAAGGACAATATTGGTGTCAGTCATTATAAAATATGTGATAGAACTGGTTAAATACATCCCAAATATAATTTTAACACAAAGATCATTGCTACGAGAGATGTGTAACAAGCACGTGAAGAAACGGGAAGTGATGACAAACACGAGTTATCCTACTATATAACTGACTGAAGTAACGAGCGATAACAGACACGCGATCGAATTTCATTTCACTGATAATTCAGTTGAAGATGAAAAGTTATTATATGAGACGGTGAGAGGATATCTGACAATTCAAAAAAAGAATTGGCTGTCATTAGATAAAAGATAACGAACAAATTAGAAAAAGTGAATGCATTACCATGTTTTTATTAAGAACAGAATGAATAAAAACGGGGAAATGCACGGGATTTTTCTATTTTTCTCGTGTCCCTTATCTAGTGACAGCCAATTCTATTTTTGAATTGTGAGATACCCTCTCACCGTCCCATATAATAACTTTTCTTCAACTTCAATTGAATTATTAGTGATATGAAATTTGATCGTTTGTCTGTTATCGCTCGTTACTTCAGTCAGATATATAGAAGCATAACTCGTGTTTGTCATGTTTGGCGTCACTTCCTGTTTCTTCACGTGCTTGTTACACATCTCCCGTAGCAATGATCTCTGTGTTAAAATTATATTTGGAATGTATTTAACCAGTTCTATCACATTATGTAATTATGACTGACACCAATATTGTCCTTTAAATCCCATTTCATTTCATTTCATGTATCAGTGACTAGAAGAATACCCGGCTTCGCTCGGGGGTCATTCGCTCGGGGGTCATAACCCCGAAACCGGAAGTGGTAGACTAACGCCACCTGGCCTATGTTACTCCCCGGTCCGAGCTACCCCTATACCCCAAATTCGGGGCAGACCTAGTGTAGCCGCCAACCCCGAACAGACAAACGACAGTCACAAATATTAGTATAGATTCCGATCAAACATCAACTTATAGTAAGATAATCGGTCATAAACAGTAATTAAATTTTTATGTCTGTGACATTATGAAATGAGATGTCATTCATTCCTAGATGATGTAATTATAAATCGCTCCCAACTCACCATAAATGTCATAAAAGTACTATTCTGCGAGTGGTTGTTAAAATGAACAAATTGCTTTAATCAAATCTATCGTGCTAAATATAATTATCTCGACGTAGGGTTGATTCCCATCGCCACTCTATAATCATCGTAATGCTGTAAGTAATATAGCAGATCTATATTTCGTTTCGTTTTTTATACATTCGATGGCCTACACTACATGAAGATCTGACCAGGCATTCGAGCGGCTTTTGATCCTATGACGCTAGACATTGATTAATCAATCAGCGTTGACGTTTCTAGGGGTTTATCCACAGTTCCGTGCAGAGCAAGCCAAGAACTCGCGGTCACAGACCGTTTCTTTGGCTAATTCTTCACATCAACTAGAACGTCTGTTATATAACAACTCTTCCCGATCCTAGTGTTGTGAAGACAAGTAAAACGAAATAGGATCTGTTTTTTAATCAGAAATGAAATGGGGTTTAACGTCCTACTGTTCTGCTCCTAAACTGGGCTAATGAAGACGGGCATACGCCATACAGTGTGCTATGAGGGAAATTTTACCCGGGCAGCGGCGCTACGGCCTACTCTTATATCGAATTCCAATATGTACACGGGGCCTCGGTTTTTCGTCCCACCCGAACGACTAGACAGCTGTCCTTGTCAGGCCCCCCGTCCTGCATCACTGACAAGGAGGAACCACGCCGAAAAATCTGGATGAACTTTCTCGGCCAATGCAGGGATCGAACACCCGAACTCCAGGCTAGCGAGCCAGCGTCTTACCCACTTAGCCACGTGATCCCCACTTAGCCACGTGATCCCCCTATTTTGTAATCAGATTGTATAGCCCGATACACAACGTTTCGTCGGCAATATGTGCACTACTGATACATATTCCATCAATATTCCATCAATGTTTTCAATGCAAAAAGTTTACACTGTAATATGAAGTTAAATTAAAAATGCTCTTGCGCCATGTTCAATATTAAACTGGTCTCGTATTCGTTTTGTCCGGATTTATTTCTGGATTATATGCGTGTTTGATTATACCGACTTTTGGTGTAGTCAGGGCTTATGTTCAGCTTTATATAAACCCGTCATCGTATGAAATACACATCTTCGTCTGACGTTGTTGGGAATTTTTAGTGGGCGGCACATCAGCGCCGAAGAAATCTAGATAAATCAGCAACGAGCAATCCCGATTGTTCTACCAGACAGATTGTCGCCGACAGCCTGAAATTCATTGGTGTGTACAGACCTTTAAGTCAATCATACTTTACGAGCGATAAAAAATCGAAGATTAACCCTATTCCCGAAGACAAACAGTCAATTATTAAACCCACGGTTTCTCTAGTTTGTTTCTGTGGATGTGTGTGAACTGTAGGTCATCGATTTTTACTTCTTTACGAAATTTTGTTGAGTTTTATGAATTCTGCAAACGTGCACAAGAGGCAATAAACAATGGCTTGTTGTATTCTAGTCATCTGTTATATTTGATTTTTTGCGCAATGAATCGTTGTACTGCAGGATTATGTCTTTATTACAATTCCTTAGAGATCCATTATGTAAGATTCAGATAAAGAACTGGCCGTTCTTGCTATAATAATTTAATGAAAAGATAATGAAAAGAGAATATTATTGATATTTTCAGTCAAATTACTTTATTCTGCGCGAAGTTGTGACTGTGATTTTCATTGTTGCCACAATTGATACGATAGTAAACAACGTCTCGATTATTCATTTTTTAATTATTAAATCACTACAATTAAATAGGGGGGTTGGGTGGCTTCGAATCCCCGGTTGTACGTGGCAAGGAGTAGGGTCGCCTGTCCAACCTCGTGGGTTTTCTCCGGGTCCTCCGGTTTCCCCCCACTGCTAAAGACCCCTACGCGCAAGCGAATTATTGAAATAAAATTAAACCATGTGTTAGTCCCGAAATGACCTAGTTTGTGTTCAGTGGACGTTAAACCCCATTTCTCTCTCTCTCTCTCTCCCTACCATTATGGGTTTGTCATTTGAATAATTGTCTTATTAAAGATACATTATGGTAGATTCGGTAACGAGTTGCCAGTTCTCACTGTAATAGTTAAAAACTAGATAATGTAAAGGCAATTTGTTGAAAATTTCATTCAAATTGAACCACTCTGAACCGAGAACTAAGCAATTGAAATTCCCATAAGCCTCGGTCATCATTACTAAAGTCAGTACGATAAACAGCATAGTCTCGATTATCCATTTAATCGTTTAATAGAGAAGGAAAGTTATGCAGTAAATCGGCTTACAATCCACTAAAGATCGCAGGCTAGCGCTGCCATCTAGAGTTGATTATGGCCTGGATAGGTTAATTAATGTCTAATTAATAATTTAGATAACATTTCAGGCCTAAAGAAAGACCTGAAATAGACAGATTTAGCTCTTGCATAATGTATGTTTAATAGACTTAAGTTAAGAATGTACGCAAACTTATTCGCCTTATTTTAGCTAAAGTATAGCCCTTTATAAAACTTTTATTGTTTTAATGTATCAAATACATCAATAAAAAAAACTATGTGAATTTTCTTTTGTTTCTGGATCAAAGATATTTCTCATAAACAGTGATTGAAAGTTGAGTAAATTCTTAACTTAACTGTTTGAGAATGCTTTGTGAAACCGGGACCTGTAATAGGCAGGTTTAGCTCTTTAGCCTACAGTCCGTTATGAGGGAAATGTCAGACACCGCCGCTACGGTTCCGTGTGAACGAATCGACAATTTTTATTGTCAGGTCAAAGCTCCAGCACCACTGACAAGGGCTGCAAAATACCGAGGAACTATCTCGCCCAACACCGGAAGCTCCTGGTTAGGGAGCCTCGGTCTTACTCGCGCACAGGTGCATTATGTATGACGTATTTCCGACTTCATTAAATTGGTTCGCGAAGGCAGAAAAGTACGACGTTATAAAGCACATTTCATTTTGTTTCCTGTGTTCAGGTTCATATCCGTATAATCTTGACCTTGTTGACCATGTGCGATACAGATCTAGGTTATCATGTTAAATATGACAGAACTTGACAGTGACCTAGAACTGTTAATGGGATGGACGACAGTGACCACCAGCAAAGAAACCTATTATATAAATATGGAAATATGGCCGTCTAATTGATTCCACCATGATATGTTGATCTACCACTTAATGAACTTGTTCGTCTGCTGTATCAATAATAAAACTTTTAACACAAGTGTTAAAATAACACCTGGGGCCTGTTTCACGAACATTTAACGAAGACAAAATCAAAATTTTAGTAATTTGATTGGATAATATTAGATTGATTTTAGTGCTTTAGCCAATCAAAATTGAAGTACATGTATCTGCTAAAATTGGGATTTTATCTTTAGTTAAGATTTTGAGAAACAGGGCCGATGTTGAGAACAATACACGCACAATTTTACGCGTTTTAAACGTCTTACTTTTTTTTCTTACATCAACCTGGATAATGGTGACGAGCCTACGCCATCCAGAGTGCTTTGGGCACATTTTGTCCAGATAGATGCGCTACGGCCTACTGTTATTACAACTTCAAACTAGCTTGTCCTCAACGTGCTGTGAGCCCCGGTGGCTCAGTGAGTAAGACGCTGGCTCGCTAGCCTGAAGGTCACGGGTTCGCTCCGGGTGTTGGCCGAGAAAGTCTATGGAGATTTGCCGGTGTGGTTCTCCCCTTGTCACTCGGTGTTGAACGGAGGGTCTGCCAATGACAAATGTCTAGTCGTTCAGATGGGATGACAAATTGGCGTGTACGTAAAAGATCGGCTGGCAGTTGGAATATTATACAAGACTAGGATGTAGCGCCACTGTCTGGGCAAAATTTCTTCATAACACACTGTATGGCGTATGCTCGTCTTCATTAGCCCAGTCGGGGCAAAACAGTAGGACGTTAAAGCCAACTTCATTTCATTTCATTTCTATAACAGTAGAGTTGCGACCTATTCTGATTGCAAAATCCGAACGCATAGACATTATTTCTTGCCAAACACCCGTTCTTCCACTACGCCGGAAAATCCCGAGGAGCTTTTTCAGCCAACACCTGGATCGATCCGGGACACCGTGGTTAACGAGTCTACGTCCGTAGATATCTAACTATAAATATATAATTTAATATAGTTTAATTTTAATATCCTCATTAAATACAGCCCGGTGTGATAACGAGGCAGTAAATATGTTTAATTATCTAGCGAACCATAGAGATTTTGAAAGGTGACTATACGTGACGAATATTGGATTTATATCGTTTCACTTATTAAAGTTACATTATGGGAGATTAGATAAAGAGCTGACAGTTCGCACTATAATAGTTAAAATAATCTAGATAATGTAAAGGGAATTTGCTGAAAATTTCAGTCAAATTGATCCTGAGATTTTAGCGATTGAATTTTCGGCCTAGCCTCGGTCATCATTACTAAAGTTGGTACGATAAAAACATAGACTTGATTATCCATTTTATGATTAAATCATGAATGGAAGTCGAATAGCAAATCGGAACCTAATCCAATAAACATTGCAGGGTAACGATGACATCGAGAGCTGAATATGGTCTGGATAAGTTAATTAATGTCTAATTAATAATTTAGATAACATTTCAGGCTTAAAGAAAGACCTGCAATAGGCAGATTTAGCGCTCGCATAATGTATCTTTAAAGTAACTATTCGTGTTTTTCATTTTCCGGAAAATTTAAAATTGCTCACTGCTTAATCCACGCTATGGGTGGCTCAATGGTTTAACGCGATCTTTGTTTCGATCCCCGCTATAACAGACGTCTGTAAGTAACAAGTCGCCTGACTATAATTAGCTCCTCTGTTTCAGACGGTTAAAGTGAAAAAATGATTTAGTTTAGTTTAGTTTTCTTTCATTTGAATACTGTGAAACTGTACTGAATTGACTATAGATTAAAACAATTTGTCTGTAGCCATTGAGCTATGTGCGACTTCATTTGTGCATCTATTGTTATTTGACTGGAATTCAGGTCAGCATAGAGTGGGATTTCGGATGCAAAACCATTGGACAATAGCAGAAAAGATTTATATGAAAGATTTCAGTCGGCTTAGAACCGCATTACAAATTAGTATACTAATTTTAGAATATGTCAGCCATGTAGGGCAAATATCTATTATCAAAGTAAATAGTTCTCTGCGTGCAAAATGATGATTATATATCAATTGATACAGTCGAGATTCCACGACACGTGTTCATATGCCACTTATCATTATCAAAGGTCAAGTTTAATCATGATTCCTGTAACTGATCGATAAGTTGTGTCAATAAGTCTGTAAAAATACTAACAGCCTGCTCTAAACCACCCTAATTAAAGGGAAGGTGCGATGGTTGTGTTGTTAAGATACTTGACTCCACATCGGAAAGAGAGGGGGGGATTGACCGCATTCCAGGAGCCAGACCCGACCAATTAAATGCAATGAAATGAAATGGAATTAAATGGGGTTTTACGTCCTACTTTTCTATACAGACAAAGCTAATGGAGACGACCATGCAGTTTGTTCGGGGGCGGGGAATTTGCCCGGACTACCTACTGTTTTTTTTTTCTAATTTCAACTATTCGAGGGTTCTAATTTTTTCTAATTTCAACTATTCGAGGGTTCTTTTACGTTTCCTATTAATGGTGGCAAGTGTCTTACACGAGGCATGTCATGATTATTTCTAGAACACCCCGTATCACTGATCACATATTTCTGAAGGTCATAGCCCTGTACCGCAATAAAAAAATCATTATATATTCACTTACCATGATGCCAACAGCAGCCACAAAAGCAAAATATAAACATATGACCGTAATATCCACCCAATGCGTTATCCGAGTGACCGCCATCTTGATCCGTTGTCCTGGAACCGTTTATGTCCAAAAACAACCGACCCTCCCTTCCTTCTGAAAAATCGGTTATTAGAATACAATTTAATAACTGTCTATAGTTAAAACATGTTGTAAATTATTCAGTAATATTCATAACCACTTGAGTTGTTTGAGAATAACCGTAGATAAAACAAACACACTATGATATGGAGACTGAGTGGGGCCATGCAAAATCACCCCCCTTTAATCGTGACAGTATTATTGCGACGACACGACAATCTCACCTTGCCATATTATCGCGTGTTTGTTGCGTTAAACATAATTTTGTCATCACTATATAGGAACTCTTTACGAACCGACAGATGGACGAACCACGTCATCCCTTTGGATACCGAAATGAAATGAAATGGCTTTGACGTCCAACTGTTCTGCTCCGACTGAGCACACACCATACTGTGTGCTATGCGGGAAATTTTGCCTTATATCGAATTTCAAATGTTTTACATGTTCACTACCAGCCTCCATATAATGAGTGTTTATCTTATCAAAATCTGAATTAAAACTGACCCTTAGTCAGCTCATCTTGTCGTATCAGTTTATAATTATGTATGAGTATGTAATGGGTATCATATATTACATACAGACACTGTTATATGTGTTTATTATTATGTATGAGAAGCGGGTATTGAGTACATTAAAACCCACAAACTCTATCAGATGAGAGAGGGAGGGGGTATTTCTGAGACTGACATGGTCCAATAATTCGCTTGTCCTTCCTTTACACTATCCATTCACTATTACTATAACGATAAATATGCGATACATGTTATCGATTCTGTTGTGCCTAGATTCATCTAGATCATTTCGGGACTAACATATGGTTCAATTATATTTCAATAATTCGCTTGCGCGTAGGGGTTTTTATCAGTGCGAGGAAACCGGAGGACCCGGAGAAACCACACGAGTTTGGAAAGCGACCCTATTTCTTGTCATGTACAAGCGGTGGATCGAAACCACACCACTTGACTCAATGACAGATCTTAGACATTAAAATAGAAGCTATCAAAAACAGAAAAATTCCCAACTATATCTAGTAATGAAACAGCAATAGTTTATGCACAAGACGCCACGCCCCCCCCCCCCCTCAAGCACACACACACCCACACCCACCTGATGGGTAACATTGTTAAGAAATAAAATTACATGATGTTTAACGTTCTGTTGTTCCACAACGACTGGGCTAATGAAGACGGATATTGCTAAGAAAATATTGTTTGGACAAGAAATTGGTCCCAAAGCGCTACTCGACGTGTTCTTCATCTTAGTCGTTAGAATTATCATCCGAACACCCCAGCCCCAAATTATATCGATTTCAATGTTAGCAGGGTTGAGGTTGTTGTCTGATCCGGATGCTGGTGATGAAAATGTCTACTTAAGGGTAACGCATGTATAAGAGTCTAGAAGTTCGAAAGTTGAAGAAAACAGCAATTGAATTGTTCTTATAAAAAGATACATTAGTTAAGAGTTTAATAAAGAGTTGGCCATTCTTGCTATAATAATTCAAAAATAGATGATACAAAAAAAAATATTGAAAATTTCATTCAAATTACTTCATTCTCAGCCAAATTATCATTGTTTGTAATTTTGACAAGTGGCGTTTTTGTGAGTCGATTAGATTAGGTTTTGATTTGCTAGTACGATTTGGTATGATTTCGATTTGATTAGCTATGGTCCACGAATGTGAAATTTGATAATTACGATTTGGTAAGATGGCTGCCATCACGGACACCGATCAGAAAAAAAATTGTCTCTGCTAATTATTGATGACTTGTTAAAGACAAATGAAGGTTATCTACGCAAAAAAGGAAAAATGGTTGCGTCCAACAAGTTCAAGTATTTTTTTGAAAACTGAAGTGACAAAACATGTTTAAAGTTTACTGAGAAGACCTAGGATCGAGGAATATATTGAAAAAACTGTAAATGAATAAAATTGCTTAGAGTTGATCTAACATTCTTGTGGACTATAAAGTTAACATTAAACACGTCAAATGCGTTTTAAAAAAACATTTTTTATGGTGAAAAATAACAATAAGCATTAAAAATTACTTACGACGTCGAACATTCCGCCATTTTGAAAAAGTCAAATCTAATCGCCTAAACACCTCCTGGGACGATTAGGTCGATTTGCCTAATCAGTTGAGTTAAATCGTCTCACAAATGTAACGATTAGCATAATCAACTTGGTTCACAAATGCGTATAATAGCTAATCGGTCTAATCTAATCGGTTCACAAAAACGCCTAAGATGTGTGCACAGTTTACCTGCACAGTGGTAACCAGGGCACTGGTATAATCGGGACTTAGCCTCGCTTTCCCATTTTTAAATTAAATTTTTAAATGGTGAACCGTTTTAATCTAGTTAAAATCTCGACTATCCGATGCCATCGAGGGTCGATTATGGTCTTGTTTTGTTAATAAATGTATAATTAATAGTTTTTATAAATTTTCAGGCCTAAAGAAAGGCCTGCAATAGGCAGATTTAGCTTTTGCATAATATATGTTTAAAGGAGCTAAATCTCTAACTCAATATTTTTCATGATATTAGAAATTAAAAATACGAATTGGAATTCAATGTTGCCCATTTCAATCAATATTGCTGTTGTTCTCTTATCGTGAAAATATTGGATCCTAATATCCATTATTTAAGACACAATGAACGCTTTATAAACAGTACGCAAGTCCTGTATTCTATGGTTTCGGATGCCGGTCATTTGTAATGAACAAAAACGACAAAATAATAATTTAAAACCAAACGTGAACAATGGACTCAGCAGTCGTGATCGACTGTTGTTCAATTTGGACAGTTCAAGTATTTCACCAAACGGATTTGATTAGAAATTACAATGATTTTATTTTTTATTTTTTAAAAATTGAATAAAACCACTTTATATAGATTCACACTACATTAATTTGTGCTTTTATAACCATCTTTGTGTATTGTACTGTTCCAAATAATAGAGCTATACGCCGTGATAATGAAGATGTGCATATTATGCTATACAGCTACTCTTTGTGGAATTCCAACTGTCAAGGGTTGTTTTATGTTCCCACCAATATGTTTACGGGACCTTGGGTGTTTCGTACCGCCCGGGCAACTAGACGTGATTCCTTGTCAGGACCCAATCCAGCACCACTGACAGTAAATTTCACAGCAATCACCGGGTAAGAACTACGAATCTCCTAGTTAGACAGTCAGCGCCTTATTCACCGGGCCCCAGTAGCTATCTGAATAACGTCAAATGGAAACCATCACCGACTAGAATGCCATTTGAAAGACATTGGTTAGTAGCATTAGAATTAAAATTGACAATACCCCAACTTACTGTATATGTGGCGTTACTTGTTACTGAAGTTCAACCCTCTTGAAGACAAATCGGTTTACATTCGATGTTATATGTAGCGGTATTCAAACAATATCCTATAACTTTAAATTAATGCATCGGCCTACTTTTTGTCAACCTTGTTCGCTCTTTGAAATGTCCTAATCTTGTTACATTGAAAATATTCTATAGCCCTTTCAGATACCCCACATAAAACAGCAAAGTTCAAAGCGGAGCGAACTCAATAATTGTATTTTAGGCCTTTGAACATTATTAATTTCAAATATGCTGTTCCTTTTTTTATATAATAAACGATATTATATTTAATATATCCCATGAAATTGTATGTAATTGGCACTCAGTTGTATGTATAAAAATTGCAAAAGCAGTATCTAAACGGCCAATTAAATTCCATCGAAACATGAAATAGACACTTGTATATATTTTATGTTTATATAATGACATGCAAAGCGGGGCAATGCGAACAACTTTATTCAAATGACCGACCTAAGTCTGGATTCTTATTAAAAGGGTCGATCTGGACTATATTTTGGAGAATAAATCTGCTTAATTTTGTGTTAAAAGGCATTAAAATCTTCTGCCTTTGGGTCGAGCAACTAACTCAATATACGTGATACGTTTTCATCTTAAACCCGTCGTTTACTATATTATAAAAACAGGAATAGCATATTTGGTTTGGTTGAACCCCGCCCCACCCCTTTTGAACCAGCGGCTGCCAGGCAGGATACGCCCACATTGCAAGAGATGGATAGAGAACAAGCTAAAAACAAACAGGATTTTTTGTACAATCAGGGGCAATAATCCAGAAAGTTATGGTCTGAAATGCGCAAATAACAAAAGGGACTGAGATCTTTGTGATATAAAGATATGTTTTATGTTTCATCAAAATCGGACCCCAGTAGCTATCTGAATAACGTCAAACGGAAGATTGGCATGGTTTTTCAAATAGAAACCATCACCGACTAGAATGCCATTTCAAAGACATTGGTTAGTAACATTAGAATTAAAATTAACAATATCCCAACTTACTGTATATACGGCGTTACTTGTTACTGAAGTTCACCCCTCTTGAAGACAAGTCTATTTACATTCGATGTTATATGTAGCGGTATTCAAACAAGAGCCTATAATTTCAGATCAATGCCTTGGCCTACTTTTTGTCACCCTGTTAGCTTTTTGAAATGACCTTATCTTATTTTATTGAAAATATTCTATAGCCCTTTCAGATACCCCACATAATACAGAAACATCGATATACAAAGGAACATTTTGAAACATCATCGCGACGTGTTGTGCATACTGTGCACATTTATATAGGGTTTTGCTAAACTGATCCTCAGTAAATATTCAATTGGCCGCTACTACCACTGAAAATGAGTTAATGAGGCCTTGATGTTAAAACTTTTTATTTTCTCTAAATTATATTCCTGTACAATTTTTATACGCCCACATTTTCATGTGGACGTATTATGCAGTCGCCCCTGTCCGTCCACAATTGTTTGTGGACTCTCTACAGGTTTTGACGAAACTTGAAATATAGGTTTATCCCCAAAAGATCTCGGCTGCTTTCGATATTGGCATGTATCGGATCTAAACTTCATGGATTATGGCCCCTGATTGTAAGAAAAATCACGTTTTTAGCTTGTGGGCCCTATATAGGTCACAA